GATAGATATACTTCAGATAGATAGATATACTTGAGATAGATAGGCATATCCTTCATTTTATTTGTCCTGGTGAGCCAAATGCTCATCTTTGACCAAAATGATTCAGTGTGACTGACAAAAGGAACGCTGACTCCCTGATCAGTGATCAATACGTCCCACTATCTGTTCCTGGCCCCGCCCCCATGCACCACTGGAGATCTACACTGCGTTTCTCTATGGGAGGTTTCTACTCTACCTGGAGAATGTCTATGTTTGATGTGTTGTCTTCTCAATTCCAAATTTCCTAAACCCGCCCCTGGTGTCCACTGTATACATTTTTAATCAATAAATCATTTTCAATAAAGTTTTATATTTAGGTATGTACCAATCAGACCGAATGGCAGCAGTCCTAATGGTCTGCCAGTGAACGCGAAGCCGCTGGGCTATCAGTTAGCTCCATTCCCAGTTATATTGGCAATAAGGCACTTTTTTAACTTCAAAATTATTTGCCTATTTTGAATTTCATTGCAAATAAAATGGAATTTAAATGGAACTGAACTTTTTTTTGGTTGTTTGTTTTTCTCTCAGCGGTTGGCTTTATCTATTCAGAGGCTAAAAGAACCAGTGCTTATGAGCAATGTTGATGAGCAACATATTACTCTGTATATGCAGAGCGCTCCATAAAAATACAACCAAACACCCAGATCTTCTATTTTTGGATTTTATATGAAACAGACCAGAAGAGAAACTAACTTTAAATAAAACTCTGCATCACACTGACATTATTAAGCACTACCAATGCTGCTGAACTTTTATAATCCTTTTAAATAAGACATTACATATTTATTTGCAATGAGCTTTTTCACAGCTTCCCCTGCAGGACCAGCAGCAACTTCTTCCCTGCTGCCATCAGACCATAGAAAAGTTTAAACTCTCATCCAGACTCTGCATCACACTGACATTATTAAGCACTACCAATGCGGCTGAACTTTTATAATCCTTTTAAATAAGACATTACATATTTATTCGCAATGAGCTTTTTCACAGCTTCCCCTGCAGGACCAGCAGCAACT